TCCTAGAAGCTGCATATTAAAGATCCATCTGTGGTAGAAAGGAAGTTTTTAGGAGAATTAAATGAACAGGAAAAAAATTTTTAAAGACTAAAAAAAAAAATGACAACAATGTGCCGTTTGGTCTTTCTTCGGTCATTATGTCTTTGCAGACTATCATGAGTGAGAATATTCTCGAGTCTATTGCTTGAAGTGGTGTTAGTGATCATTTCTATTGCAAAGACCTTTGTGGGTTGTTTGTTGGTTTATTTTGTTTTTTGTGTTTTTTTTTTGAGACAGAGTCTCACTCTGTTGTCCAGGCTGGAGTGCAGTGGTGTCATCATAGCTCACAGCAACCTCAAACTCCTGGGCTCAAGCGATCCTCCTTCCTTAGCCTCCCAAGTAGCTAGGGCTACAGGGATGTGCCACCATGCTTGGCTGATTTTTCTATTTTTTGTAGAGATGGGGTCTTGTTCTTGCTCAGGCTGGTCTTGAACTCCTGAGCTCAAGTGATCCTCCTGCCTCAGACTGCCAGAGTGCTAGGATTACAGGTGTGAGCCACCGTGCCCGGCCACAGATTTCTAATTATGTCCCTCTTGGCATATACCCCATAACTAAGGACTAATACTTCTAGCAGACTGCCACCTAGTGTCGTGGTATCCTCCTAGTAACCTCCTCTCTTAAGTTGATGAGGGAAAGGTTTGAGCCTCTCATTATTGGGGAGACTAGGAAAAGGAGTTATAAAGTGGCATAACAGGCAGACACCCCCTGTGTGTGCAGGCTGTCTGTACGATGGTAGATTGTCTTCTAAGCCATCCAACCAGTCTCTCAGTCCTGAAAATAGGCCAGTCCAGCTAAAGAGTTAATAATTGTGTCAAACAGTGGTGTTGTAGATGGGCTTTCACCAAAGTCAGGCCTCTGTGTGATTTAAGCAATCCAATATTTAGTAAGATGTTTAACAAAAGGAAAACAAAGGTTAGAACAAACCATAAACTCAGTCTTTGAGTCCAGAAGAGAGCCAGTAGAGTAGATTTTTAGATATAGGACTTGAAGCATCTTCAGATAAATTAAGAGCAGATAGTGGCAATATGTCAGATTTTTTCCTGGTTTGCAGTTTTCAGCAGGTGTTCCAGCGAATTTTCTGCAAAGTCCGTATATCGGCAGGCATGAGGGCTATTTATATATAAGTTGCTGTTATTTCTCCCAAAGTCTTAGCTGTTCAGCTTCAGTTTGTAGGGCTTCAGAAAAGCATAGTTTTTTATTGCTAGTGATTTTAAGTCAGAAAAATGAAAGAAAAATTTGAAAATGCTAGTTTAGAGACTTGTAGCCAGGGAAGAATTCAAGACCCGGTCCAAACTGTAGGTAAATCATAAAACCTCAAAAGCAGTGAAGAAAGATAAAATCGTATAACAGGTGTATTGTATTTTCTTTTTAAACATAATTTTTCTGTCTCTGGACACCCATGTTTACTGAAGACAAACCATTGTAGGACTAATTCATTTGCAAAATAAATTTTAGTCTCATTATACTTGGCCTGATTATTTGCTTAAAGTGCAGTAAGAATAATTATTGGCTATATAGGTTTTTTTTTTTTTTAATTGGCTTTGTTCCTTTGCTGGAACCTTTTTTTTTTTTCATTTTTTGTAAGGACAAGGTCTCACTCTATCGCCCAGGCTGGAGTGCAGTAGCGCAATCGTAGCTCAGTGTAACCTTGAACTCCGGGACTCAAGTGATCCTTCTGCCTTAGCCTCCTGAGTAGCTGGGACTACGGGCACATGCCACCACACCCACCTAATTTTTTGAAAATTTTTTGTAGAGATGGAATCTCACTATGTTACCCAGGCTATTCTTGAACTCCTGGCCACAAGTGATCCTCTCACCTTGGCCTCCCAATATGCTGGGAGTACAGACATCAGCCACTGTGCCTGGCCAGCTGGAACCTTTTTATAAGGAATCTCAGATTAGACTTTTTAAAAAGCTTTTCAAAGCTAGCCCAGGCAAGGATTGGCCAGGCTGTCTCCATTACCTGTATGAATTGGGTAAATTCCTGTCCTCTGAAGGTCCCAAAATAGCACGTTTCTTTAACGTGTTGGAAAGTGACATTCTTTACCTATTAGAATCTTATAAAAATGAAGTACCAGGCAAGTCTTTCCATAGGGCTTTTTATCAGCTCTGTAAAGTCAACCTTAATTCCTTAAAGTAGTCTGGGCATATCTGAAAATATGCCATTCCAGTCAAAGCCTTGGTAAATAACTGGTGTCTCCAATTGTGTCCTGTTGTAAAAGAAAGCAGATTCTTATTGACCTTATGCAAATAACTATATTGCCATAAATTAAGAAGACTCATAAATAGTTTCTAAATTCTGGAGATACCAAGTATAAAAATAAATGCCTCAAATTCTTCTCACAAAAAAATAGAATTTAATAATTTGTTGTAAGCTATAAATAGCCCAAAAGAAGAAAAAAAATTCATGACTTCTGGAAAACAAAACACAAAAAGAATAGAAATTATTTCAACCTATTATAAGTTTAGTTCCATGCAATTAATTTTTTGCTCTCTTTGAGGATGTATTAGCAATCCTCATGAACACATCAGCTTTTTAATTAAAGTCTTGGAAGTTTTCCTAGTTCAAATTGTGTAATGTCCAAAATGATCAGAAACCTATATTCCAGAGTTCCCATCAGAACACTTTCCATAAATTTTCTTGAAGAAGCAAATTTTGAACTGTAGCCAGTTAAAAAATTCTTTAACATAAAACAGTAATTGTCAATGAGAAAAAGTCTTAGAATCACCATGGTTAATTGACAAAAAACTTGGTTATTCCTGTAGCATACAACAATTTCACACTGATTATAATTATTGTTGATAACATATATCAAGACATCAGAATTTTTGGAAATTTCATGCAATTTTGGAACACATACTTATATAAATATAACCTAAATAACATTGAAATGCATTTCATTTTTGACAGTGCTTTCTGTAACTTTGCATATCAAATAAGCCAAATATGTTTCTCTTGGACTTCTAGAGGCCCTGATACAATCTGAACTTTTGATTTTGGAATGTTTATGAAATACCAAAGGTTTAAAACACTCCATATCACAAAATAGAATCACAAGTCATTATAAAATAAGTCATTCATTTAACCAAAACAGTAATTCAAAGATTTTAAAAAACAAAACCTTTATTCTTTAGTAAAGAAGAGATTCAGTTTCCCAAACAATCACGTAAGACCTAATAAAGACAAACTGAAACTGAAAGCTAATGAAAAGGTAAACTGAATCTCTCTTTCCCCTCCTTTTTTTTTT